TAAATCTCTCTCTCTCTCTCCTCTCTCCCTCTCTCCCTCGCCCTTCTCCCTTCTTCTCCCTGGTGCTCTCTGATCCTAGCAATGGCTCGGGGGCAGCAAAAGCGAATGTAGGCAAGGTAAGGAGGGGAGGGGCGAGGCTCGTTGCGTATTTATGTAGGAAGGGGATGAAACGGACAGGCGATGAAATCGGGGAAGTTTCCCTCAAATCCGGCACAGTTAAACCAGCTCCGATTTAACCACCCACGCGCCCACCTTTTTCCTCATTAATCGCACGAACAGTTATGTCCCGTCTGCTGACACCGCGTCGCATCCAACCGCAGCAACAGCAGGCCCCAAGAAACCGCCTCAAATGGCGCGCTCGCCGTTGTCAGCCGATGGGAGGGGAATATCCCCCCACCCGATTCCTTTCAGACTAAGGAACGGGGCGCCGAGCCCGTTACGCTCCAGGGGTTCGAAGGCTGGGCCCCCGAGGGTCTCGACAGCCGCCCTAGGACAACAGAGTCAGGGACAACTATGGGCGAGCCCGTACATGTCCGAGGCCCGAGTAAGCGATCGCTCGGGATGCCCTAAGTCGTGTCCGAGACTGGCAGGGAGGTCTCCGAATGGGATCCCACCGTAGGGAGGCACCGAGCCCCCAGGGCCAATCGAACAGCCCTGGGACCCACTAGAGAAGCCCTCTGATACTTTTGGAGTGCGTCTCTGGACCACTAGCCGACCCCTATCGAATGGGGCACGGGCCTCCACTCGGACTTACCCGATAACAGCTCACCGGAAGTGTCACCGCTCGCGCCCACCGAGGGTAGCCTGACATATTCCACCCCTCCATCCGAACGAAAAGGATGCGCGAGGGTCACACAAAAAGCCAGGGGAACTCCTGATCACCCTCTCGCTCCGTACAGAGGCTCGAGGGCTCTTCCTGCAACCTTGCCGAGACCCAGCGACCCAGGCTTGCACTCGAGGGCTCGGCAAACAACCCCTCCTTCCGAATGAAAAGGATGCGCGAGGGTCGCACAAAAAGCCAGGGAAACTCCTGATCGCTCCCTCGCTCCGTGCAGAGGCTCGGGGGCTCTTCCTGCAACCTTGCCGAGACCCAGCGACCCAGGCTCGCACTCGAGGGCTCGGCAAACAACCCCTCCTTCCGAACAAAAAGGATGCGTGAGGGTCGCACAAAAGCTAGGGGAACTCCTGATCGCCCTCTCGCTCCGTGCAGAGGCTCGGGGGCTCTTCCTGCGACCTTGTCGAGACCCAGCGACCCAGGCTCGCACTCGAGGGCTCGGCAAACAACCCCTCCTTCTGAACAAAAAGGATGCGCGAGGGTCGCACAAAAAGTCAGGTAAACTCCTGATCGCCCTCTCGCTCCATGCAGAGGCTCGGGGGCTCTTCCTGCAACCTTGCCGAGACCCAGCGACCCAGGCTCGCACTCGAGGGCTCGGCAAACAACCCCTCCTTCCGAATGAAAAGGATGCGCGAGGGTCGCACAAAAAGCCAGGAGAACTCCTGACCGTCCTCTCGCTCCGTGCGGAGGCTCGGGGGCTCTTCCTGCACCCAGAACGAAAACAAGCAACCCAAGCTCGCACTCGGAGGCTCCGAAAAACAGGATAAAAAGGGCACCGAGCCCGTTACGATCTAGGGGTTCGAAGGCTGGGCCCCCAAAGGTTTTGAAAGCCACCCCAGGACAAATAGGGTCAGGGATGACTGTGGGCAAGCCCGTACATGGCCAATGCCCAAGCAAGCAAGTGCTTGGGAAGCCCTAAGTCATGTCCGAGACCGACAGGGAAGTCTCCGAATGGGATCCCATCGTAGGGAGGCATCGAGCCCCCGGGGCCTATCGAACGGCCCTGGGACCCACTAGAGAAGCCCTTTGGTACTTTTGGAGTGTGTCTCTGGACCGTTAGCCGACCCCTATTGAATGGGGCACAGGCCTCCAATTGGACTGACCCGATAACAGCTCACCGGAGATGTCACTGCTCGCGCCCACCGAGGGTAGCCTGACATATTCCTCCCCTCCTTCCGACCGAAAAGGACGCGAGAGGGCCGCCAAAAAAGACAGGGAAACCACTGATCGCCCTCTCGCTCCGAGCAGAGGCTCAGGGGCTCTTCTTGCAACTAAGCCAAGGTCCAGCGACCCAAACTCGTACTCATGGGCCTAGCAAACGCGATAAAACTCCTTACTCAATAGAGAAAAAGGCCCTGGAGGAGTAAATCCACTCCTCCAGGGCCTCAGGGGCTACACCCGGCGGGTGCGCTCACGCGCACCCACCGGAACCACGAGTACAAAACACAATCCCGACGGGAGCCGCTGCAAGCTAGAATCTCGACAAAACCTCAGGGAGAGTGCTCGCACTCTCCCCGAGGCTCGGGGGCTACTGTCAGATACCATAAAAAGGGGTACCCTAAGCAAGAACCGAAAAGATTGCTTAGACCTTGCAAAAATCAAAGCCAAGGGACAACCACGAGGTCTCGGCCGATTCACCGATTCGCCCGAGGTCTGCGCCGCAAAGGCCTCGGGCGAAAGGCCAACCTTTCGCCTTGCCGAGGCCCTCTCGCCGAGGCCCCGCCCCGCTAGGCCTCGGACGGGTTACCGATTCTCCGATTCGCCCGAGGCCCCGCGCATAAAGCCTCAGACGAAGTACTGATTCTCCGACTCGCTCGAGGCCGGCTCGGCAACAACCTCATCGTCTCCATCTCGACCGACTTCTCTGACAAAATGTCACGCGTCCAACCACTCCCGCAACGTCAGCCGTACATCGACGCAGTGCAGCAGAGCGGCCGACGGGACGGGAGACAGGATCGAGCTGGGGGGGTTACTGCCATCGCAGTGCAAGATCACGCCTATGATGGCGCCCGTCAGACTGCCTTGTGCCACCTAATTCCTGCCCTAGGAACAGCAAGGCGTGGGGAGTCAAGTCCGGGTCACTATAGCCTCAAAATCAGTGTATAGGACCAACTGCTCCCTCCAAGCCTCGGCAATCCACTTCAGGGCCTCGACAGCCTCGAGATTTGCGCCCGCCGAGCCCCTACGATGGCTCGGCCTCGGCACCAACTGAGCCTCGGCTTTTTACGCTATGAACGTATAGCGACTGGCACGTCGTCAGCCATGCCCTGCGCCAAGTTATCACTGGAGCTCCCACGTCGCACAAGATCGGGTGTGACCAGCGCGTTGCTCCAGTGCATCAAGGACAAGACCACTCCGTTGACCACGCCGCCACAGTAGCAAGCTACAGGACTCAGACACGCCACCTCCGCTCACAAGACGCTGCATAGCAAACGCATGTATTGCCCCTACCCCCCCCCCTCCTTCAACTATAAAAGGAGAGACCGGGGGCGGAAGATGGACGAACTCACGCATAGGCTCACGTAGATCCAGACACACGCTTCCCCGCTGCCTGAGAGCAACGTCTCAAGCAGTCCGCACCGCTCCACGCAGAGACCTGGGACTAGCTCCCTCTCTCGCCCAGCTTGTAACCCCCTACTACAAGCACTTCGGTGCAAGGAATACAAGATCGATCTCTCAGACTTGACGTAGGGCACCGATTACCTGAACCAGTATAAACCTTGATGTCTCTTTGCATCACCATCCGGGATTAGAGGCACGCAGTCCAAATTCACTGGTTGGTTGAGGACCCCCGGTCAAAAACACCGATAGATTCAATCCTGGACGCGTGACTTTCATTCCGGATCAGTTCTGGTTTTCAGGGCACGGGTTAGGCTTGGACGGGCCAGGCCCATGCAGCACCCAGGTGCAAAATAATAAAAATTTAATTTATTGATGAATGAGCTGCTTTGAGATGCGCACAATTTTTTATAAAGAGGAGTCCCGGAGCAATTCTCTTAAAAAAACATATTCGAAGAAGGTCGAAACAGCTTCGTTCTGAATTTTCCACCACGTCAGGCCCAGGAAGCAGTCGGCGCACGGTCAGGAATACAGCTCTCCTCGTCTCAGTTCCTGTTGCTCTCACACTGCTGCTGCTGCTGCTTCTTCTTGCCGTCTGTATCTGCAAGAACAGAACTACAAACAAGCGTATGTGCTAAAACAACTTCAGCGTATCTTTGGAACAATGTGCTGTAACCTTCAGATTTGAGTTGACTCTTTCATTTCCTCGATCTTATATCAACAGGATATGAAGGTGACGAAGAAATGAGAGGTTCAGAAACTCTCCAGTACGATCTAGGTACTCTGCGGGCTGCCACCGATAACTTTTCAGAAGAAAATATGCTCGGGAAAGGCGGTTTTGGACCGGTCTACAAAGTAACTTCAATCCTGCAGCCTGAATTTTAACTTAGCAAAATGCCCAACATGCCAAATAGTCCTTTCTTTTGGCGTGGCTGCCAAATAAGCACAAAACACATGATGTTCTGACATCAATATTCTTCAGGGCACGATGCAAAATGGGCAGGAAATTGCAGTGAAGAGACTGTCAACAATCTCACAGCAAGGACTAGTGGAAATGAAAAACGAGATTGTCCTCGTTGCAAAGCTCCAACACAAGAACTTGGTGCGCCTACTCGGTTTCTGCATCGATGAAGAAGAGAAGCTCCTCGTCTACGAGTTCCTCAGCAACAAGAGCCTCAATAAAATCCTTTTCGGTGCATGAACCAGTGATCACTATCATTTTATTTTCATATCATATCACTTGGTCATTTGTTTACTAACTACTAAGTGAGATAAATCAAACTTTCAGATCCTAAAACGCAACAGCAGTTAAGCTGGGGGCAAAGGTATAAGATCATCGAAGGGATCAGCCGAGGGCTTCTGTATCTTCACGAGGATTCACGGCTGACGATCATCCACCGTGATCTCAAGCCTGGCAACATCTTGCTAGACGCAGACATGAACCCCAAGATCTCCGACTTTGGCTTGGCCAAGTTATTTAAGATGGAATTGAGCGCAGAAAACACAAGACATATTGCTGGAACTTAGTAAGTTTGGCGTCTCCAAGTTCCTTAATTCTTCTTCTTTTTTCCTCAAACGTGTCTATGTCCAGTTTTTCCAATAGAGAGATATGTACGTGGCTCCATTTGTACATGCATCCTGAGTCCTGACATGCCATGTCTCCGAGATGCAGCGGATACATGGCACCAGAGTACGCCTATCGCGGCATCTTCTCTACCAAGTCAGACGTTTTCAGCTACGGCGTCCTTGTCCTGGAGATCGTCACCGGCCGGCGAGCTTCTGAAGATCTGCTAAGCTTGGTAAGTGTAACCTTGGAATCAGAACACGCATCACTGCTTGCAATGGCGAGCTAATTTTGATCATGTATGTATGGGGCGCGCGGGCACGGCCGCACGGACAGGTTTGGAGGCACTGGAGCCTCGGCAGCGTGCTGCAGCTTCTCGATGGCTACCCGGCGGAGGAGCCAGACAGGCTGGAGATGCTAAGGTGCATCCACATCGGGCTGCTCTGCGTCCAGGAGGATCCGCAGCTCCGGCCCCGAATGGCGTCCGTCCTCCTCATGCTCAGAAACCGCATCGTCACAATGTCGCCGCCAACCAAGCCGGCCTTCGTAGTCCCCACAGGGGAGCCGTCGACGTCGATCAACAAAGTCTCCGTCTCTGACTTGGAGGCACGTTGATGGATTGCAGGGTTTAGCAAGGACGAAGACGACGTGATCCTTCATTTCCGCTCTTTCCATTGAAATTACAGGGGCTGTAAATTTTTTTTTGCTCAAATTCAAATTAAAAAACAAACACGTTACGCTATATAATATTCCTACCCCCCATGGACGCAAATCAGTTTAGCGAGTCGGACTCGAGGTGGAGAGTGGAGTCGTACAACATATCGGATCGGAACCTGGCAAGGAAAACAAGGACGAGGCCGCGTCCGAGTCCGACACGGCCGCCGCGCACCGCCAGGCCTATAAAACGGCACCTACCTTCCCGCCTCGCCGTCGCATCAAACCAAAGTACGTAGCTCAATTGGCCAACTGACAACGTAGTCGAGATGGGGCGCATCAAACGTGCGGCGTCGCTCTTACTCGCCGTCGTGCTCGCGCTCCTGCTCCCGGCGTCGTTCTGCGCCGCCGAGCCGATCAAGACCACGCCCACTCGCTGGAGCTTCCACCTGCCGCTGCCCGACGCCGTCACCGGCGCTGAGAGCCTCGCCTTCGACCGCCGCGGCCAGGGCCCCTACGCCGGCGTCTCGGACGGCCGCATCCTCAAGTGGGGCGGCAGCGCGCTCGGCTGGACCACGTTCGCCCACGGTGCAAACTACCGGAAGATCCCACTGTGCACGGCGTCCGCGGTGCCGTCGGAGCAGACGGAGAGCATGTGCGGCCGCCCGCTTGGGCTGCAGTTCTTCGCCATGACAGGCGATCTCTACATCGCCGATGCATACATGGGGCTCATGAAGGTCGGGCCCAACGGCGGCGAGGCTCAGGTGCTGGCGACGCAAGCGGCAGACGGCGTGCCGTTCCACTTCGTCAACGGGCTCGACGTCGATCAGGCCACCGGCGACGTATACTTCACGGACAGCAGCAGCACCTACCCGCGCAGGTTCAACACCGAGATTATGATGAACGCTGACGCGACGGGGCGGCTGCTCAAGTACGATGCGCGGACGAAGCAAGTCACCGTGCTCAAGGCCGACCTGCCGTACCCCAACGGCGTGGCGGTCAGCACCGACAGGACGCATGTGGTGGTGGCGCACACCGTGCCGTGCCAGGCGTTCAGGTACTGGCTCAAGGGGCCCAAGGCCGGCCAGTATGAGCTCCTCGCGGACCTGCCTGGTTACCCGGATAACGTGAGGCGCGACACCAGGGGCCGCTACTGGGTAGCGCTGAACCAGGAGAAGGCGCGGCTCGACACGACAGCGCCTCCAATGAAGCATCTAGTTGGCGTCCGGCTCGCCGTAGACGGCGCGGCGGTGGAGGAGCTGACGGCGGCCAAGGGCGTGACCCTGAGCGACGTCTCTGAGAAAGACGGGCAGCTGTGGCTGGGATCCGTAGAATTGGACTACGTAGGCCTAGCTTAGTGTCGGCGTTTCGGAACCGGAGGTACTTAACCGACTAGTGAATTTGTGCTGCGTGCTCTCAATTCCGGATGGTGATGCAAAGAGACACAAGGTTTATACTGGTTCGGGCAATGGATGCCCTACGTCCAGTCTGAGAAGATGTTCTTATATTCCTTGCACCGGGGTGCTCGTAGTAGAGGGTTACAAGCTAGGCGAGAGAGGGAGTTCGTCCCAGGTCTCTGTGAGGAGAGGTGATATGAATTACAGAATGAGGCGTGTTGTTCGTGCGAGTATTCGTGACTCTATATGCCGTCCCTAGAAATGGTCCTGGCCGTCTCCTTTTATAGCCGCAGGGAGGAAATCAGGAGTACATAAGAGAGCTACACGTGGAGCGGACTATTCGATGACGTATTTACTCATGGATCAGCATGGCGTTGTCGTGGGAGTTTCCGTAGATGTCTAATCGGTATGGTCTCCACTGCAAGTAACATGCTGCGCATTTGTTGGCTTGGTGGATTGCAGAAGCTCGGCGGCCATCATAGCTGGTCGTGCCGAGGCCTATTGTGCCGAGGCCTGTTATGCCGAGGCCTGCCGTGCCGAGGCCTGAGAAGTGACCCAGGTGCAGATGCGGGTCTCAACGGCCATCAGGCGGAACAGTGCGAGACGTGCGTCTACAGGATACGGTACCTGTGTTGTCAGTAGGGATGGTAAAAAAGGTGATCTGACCGTTGTCCCGTCGCTCTGCTGCGCGCAACTTGACCGCCGATCGTGACTTACGTAAGCGGGTGCAAATGAGCGCGTGTCGGATGCGACGGCTGCCGCCAGAGACCTTTGAGGCGGAGGCGACGAGGTTGCGGGACGAGCCCGGCCTCGGGCGAGGCAGAGCGCGGCCAATTCGTCCGAGGCCCTACCGGGGGGTCTCGGGCGAGGCGGACGGGCGAGGCGGAGAAAGATCAGTGAATCCGAGGCCCCGTCGAGGGGGCTCGGGCGAGACGAAGCGGTCGGTCCGCTGATTCCGAGGCTACAGGAACCCGTTCTGACTCCCCACGTTACGATGTCTTTGGTGCAGGAGTTAGGCAGCACAGTGGTCGGTAACCCCTGCTCTGTGCCGTCGCAGATGGCAGGAGGTTGACGCGACTGGCATGTAGTCGGTCACTTCGCTGTACTGTGCCATCGTGCGTCTGTCGGAGTGGTTGGGCGCTTGGATGCGACGTTCGGTCAGAGCAGTTCGGTCGAACAGGCGGTCACGGGGCTGGTCCCGAGCCGGCCTCGCGCGAATCGGAGAATCGGCACTTCTTCCGGGGCCCCAGGCGAGGGGGGCTCGACGAGGGGGCCTCGACGAGGGGGCCTCGGCGAGGCGGTCTCGGGCGAGTCGGAGAATCGTTTGCTTCCGCTGGGGCTCGGCGACGGGGTCTCGGGCGAATCGGAGATTTCGGCCGAGACCTCGTTTGTTTATTCTGTTGGTTCTGTTTTTAGGGTCTAAGCAGTTTTTCGATCTTTGCTTGGGGTACCCTATTTTCTGGTATCCGACAGTAGCCCCCGAGCCACGGGCGGGAGTGTGGGATACTCTCCCCGAGGTTTTTTCGAGACTTTTGTTTCTCAGTGGCTCTTGTCGGGTTTGTTTAATACTCACGATTCTGGTGGGTGCGCGCGAGCGCACCCGCCGGGTGTAGCCCCAGAGGCCTTAGAGGAGTGAGTTTACTCCTTTAGGGGCTTTTTCTTCGTTGAGTAAGGCGCTCTATCGCATTTGCTAGACCCATGAGAGCGAGCTCGGGTCGCTTGTTTTCATTTGGGGTGCAGGAGGAGCCCCCGAGCCTGCCGAGCCCTCGCGTGCGATCCTAGGCCGCTGGGTCTCGGCAAGGTTGCAGGAAGAGCCCTCGAGCCTCCGCACGGAGCGAGAGGGCGATCAGGAGTTTCCCTGGCTTTTGCACGACCCTCGCACATCCTTTTCGTTCGGAAGGAGGGGTTGTTTGCCGAGCCCTTCGTGTGCGAGCCTAGGCCGCTGGGTCTCGGCAATGTTGCAGGAAGAGCCCCCGAGCCTCCGTACGTAGCGAGAGGGCGATCAGGAGTTCCCCTGGCTTTTTGTACGACCCTCGCGCATCCTTTTCGTTCGGAAGGAGGGGTTGTTTGTCGAGCCCTTCGTGTGCGAGCCTAGGCCGCTGGGTCTCGGCAAGGTTGCAGGAAGAGCCCCCGAGCCTCCGCTCACAGCGAGAGGGCGATCAGGAGTTCCCCTAGCTTTTTGTATGACCCTCACGCATCCTTTTCGCTCAGAAGGAGGGGTGGAACATGCCAGGCTACCCTCGGTGGGCGCGAGCGGTGACATTTCCGGTGAGCTTTTATCGGGTAAGTCCGAGTGGAGGCCCGTGCCCCATTCGATAGGGGTCGGCTAGTGGTCTAGAGACGCGCTCCATAAAAGTACCAGAAGGCTTCTCTAGCGGGTGCTAGGGCCATTCGATTGGCCCTAGGGGCTCGGTGCCTCCCTACGGTGGGATCCCCTTTAAAGAACTCCTGCTGGTCTCGGACACGACTTAGGGTATCCCAAGCAATCGCTTGCCTGGGCCTCGGCCATGTACGGGCTCGCCCATAGTTGTCCCTGACTCTGTCGTCCTGGGGCGGCTGTCGAGGCCCTGGATGGCCCAGCCTTCG